AAAAAAAAAAAAAAAAAAAAAAAAAAAGAGAGCATGATAGATCATACTGAAAGTAATCACTTAATTCGGATCTTCAAAATCACCATACAAACATAAATATAACTAGAGCAATGAGATTAGGCGAGAAATTTAAGACAGAACAACCATGTTTCTAACACAAATTGGAAGGTATCCAGTACCGTGTGTTGGAATGTTATAAAGTGATGACTACCTGTGCTTAAGAAAATTCCTCACCAATTAGCCCCATCTTGATGAGAAAATAGCCCTACCGGCTAAAGAAGGACTGAAAGTATCCATTTAGACAAACTAAGAAACCTCAGAAATATCTTCCCTGTGGTTAGACACATCTCTTGAATTTGCAGTTTGGAAGTGTGCTGAAATTTGAGAGTCAGCAATGCCTTCATTCTTCTGCAATGAAAACTGTGATGATCAGAACTACTGATGAGGTTGGGCGCAGTGGCTCACGCCTGTAATCACAGCAGTTTGGGAGGCCAAGGAGGGTGGTTGCCTCAGGTCAGGAGTTTGAGACTAGCCTGGCCAAAATGTCGAAACCCTGTCTCTTCTAAAAAAAAGTTAGCTGGGCTTGGTGACAGGTGCCTATAATCCCAGCTACTCAGGAGGCTGAGGCACGAGAATTGACTGAACCTGTGGCATGGAGGTTGCAGTGAGCCAAGATCACATCACTGCACTCCAGCCTGGGCAACAGAGCAACACTCTGTCTCAAAAAAAAAAAAAAAAAAAGAAAAAAACAAAACTATTGATGAGTGTTCCCTGTTGCCAGGACCAGTATCTCAGTAAATCAACCACTGAGTGAGGACTCAGTCAAGAGCCTTCAGCATAGCATCATATATTCTCCCCTTGGGTTTGAGGGGCTGGGACCCAATCCCACCATGAGGAGGTAGGAAAACTATGACATTCAAAGCCAAGTCTGAAATGCTACCTGCTCCCTAAGGAAAAGGAAGTTCAATATATATTCTCTGTGGGAAATCAAAGAACTGGCCGTTTCTTCAAACCTTCCCAGCCTGCCACCTTCCATAACTATAAATTCACCAATTCTTGGATTCCCTGGGCACAGATTCCTGTTAAAATGATTTGTTCTCTTTTTAAAAGCTGAAATTTAAGCTTTGGCAGTTACTAAATACAAATATTCAGAATTAATTCATCTGAGCAGCCAGAAACATCAGCTAATGGTGGAAAAGATCTGAAGAACATTCTGAGACTTCATGGATTCTAGGGTATTAACCCCACTAGAGCTAGGATTGGTTCTTCACCCTCTGCTCTGTGATCTTCTAAAGCATCCAAATTTTTACCAGCCTAGACATTTGAATAAATAGATGACTGTATGTTTTTGAGACAGATCTTGCTCTGTTGCCCAGGCTGGAGTGCAGTGGCGGGATGTCAGCTCACTGCAACCTCCAACTCCCAGGTTCAAACGATTCTCCTGCCTCAGTCACCCAAGTAGCCGGGATTACAAGCATCCACCACCATGCATGGCTAATTTTTGTCATTTTAGCAAAGATGGGGTTTTGCCATGTTGGCCAGGCTGGTCTTGAACTCTTGACCTCAAGTCATCCTCCCACCTCAGCCTCCCAAAGTGCTGGGATTACAGGCAGGAACCATTGCGCCCAGCCTGGATGACTATTTCTAAAGCAGGTATTTCAAAACCTGACAGCACTCTATATTCCAGAGGTTCATGCATGAGGTAGCTATGATCAACTGCAGCGGTTCTCATGAGGTTTTTTAATCCTTTAAAAAATGTTTATGGGCCAGACATGCCTGTAATCCCAGCACTTTGGGAGGCTGAGGCAGGCAGATCACCTGAGGTCAGAAGTTCCAGACCAGCCTGGCCAACGTGGTGAAACCCCGTCTCTACTAAAAATACAAAAATTATCTGGGGGTGGTGGTGTGTGGTGCCTGTAATCCCAGCTACTCAGGAGGCTGAAGTAGGAGAACTGCTTGAACCCAGGAGGCGGAAGTTGCAGTGAGCCAAGATGGTGACATTGTATTCCAGTCTGGGCAACAAGAGCAAAACTCCGTCTCAAAAAGAAAAAGAAAAAGAAAAAGAACATGGTTATAGTTAGGGGAATGCTGGCCAGAACTCTAGCCCTTTCTCTGCCAATCAATAAAAATACAACAATAGCCATGCCTTCCAGAAGTCCTGGTTGCCAGAGGCCACCTGAGCCCCTAATGGCTCCCTTCATGCATCCTGCAACTATGGTGGGAGAAGTTTTACACTTACCACCCTGCCCCTTACCAACATTTCTTTCCATTCAAGTGCCCCGTAGCTCCTAAAATGTAGACTCTCTGAAGGACTCAGAGATTAGCATGGAATAATAAGCATCAATAAACATTTGTGGACCAAAGGACGGTTAGAGGAAGGATTAGAGTTAATCAATTTACTCAATGCTTACCATCTACAAACCACTGTCCTAGGCACTATGAAGGAAGGTATCAAGAGACAGGAGACATGATTCCTGCTTTTCAAGAACTTACAGCTCTGCATTTACATCCAACCAGATTCCCAGAGATCTGCGGCATTCACTTGGGAAAAACCCTCAGAGAAATTCTATTCTAATGATTCATTCTGATGCTTTGGGAAAGCAGTGTGATAGAAATGGTTGCCTCACCTGGCCTGCAGTTCCAGTGTTCTCTCTTTCCCAGATACCTGGAAAGTATGTGGATATTCTTCATTTTGAGTCTCCACAATTTTCATTCCATCAATGCCAACCCTGGTTCGAACTGTGAATTTAGAGCCTACCAAGCTGAATCTGGGCACACAGTACAGCAACATGTTGTTGAACTGCAAAGAAGGAGAACACATATCAGTAAAGAAAATAAATAGGGGAAACTGACCAATTTTAAAAGTAGCCCTAGACAAAAATTCCAAGTAATTTCTAGAGAACACAGTACTTCCTGCATGAGCAAAATTATTTACTAAGACATTGAGGTTATATGTTCTATAAAAAATCATATTCTTACATTTTGAAAAATGTATTTCCCACTCATGGCTCAATAATTTATACTACTGCACCAAATAAATTAGTTCAATAAATTCATAACAAATTACTAAGGACCTTTGTTTGATATACCAGGAGCTTAAGTTCTTAACTTTGTAAGTTCTTAAACACAAGAATTTCTCATTGATGTATCTTAGAGGGCAAATCTAATAGGTGTTAGAATAAGAAAGTAATATTTAGCAATTATTATTATATTTGAGACAGGGTTTCACTCTACCACCTAGGCTGCAGTGCAGTGGTCCAATCATAGCTCACCGCAGTCTCTAACTCCTGTATTCAAGCCATCCTTCTACCTCAGCTTTCTGAGTAGGTGGGACTATAGAAACACACCACCATGCCTAGGTAGTTTTTCTTAGTTGAGATGAGCTCTCACTATGTTGCCCAGGCTGGTCTTGAACTCCTGAACTCGAGCAATCCTCCTGCCTCGGCCTCCCAAAATGCTGCGATTACAGAGGTGAGCCACCACACCCAGCCTCAATTAAAAATTTTTTTTTGTAGACGCATGGTCTAGCTATGTTGCCCAGGCTGGTCTTTCTTTTTTATTTTTTAATTTAAAGAAAATGATTTTTTTAAAAAAATTCTACTTTAGGTTCTGGGGTACATGTGCAGATCATGCAGGATTGTTGCACAGGTACACACATGGCAATGTGGTTTGCGGCCTCCATTCCCCCGTCACCTATATCTGGCATTTCTCCCCATATTATCTCCCCCCAACCTCCCCCCGCCGCTGTCCCTCCCCTACCCCCACAACAGACCCCAGTGTGTGATGCTCCCCTCCCTGTATCCATGTGTTCTCATTGTTCAACACCTGCCTATGAGTGAGAACACGTGGTATTTGATTTTCTGTTCTTGTGTCAGTTTGCTGAGAATGATGGTTTCCAGGTTCATCCATGTCCCTACAAAGGATATGAACTCATCATTTTTTATGGCTGCATAGTATTCCATGGTGTATCTGTGCCACATTTTCCTTGTCCAGTCTATCATTGATGGGCTTTAAAGACCAGCCTAGGCTACTGTTGATAATACAATAGCCCAGGCATGTCTTTAACTCCTGGCCTCAAATGATACTCCCACCTCAGCCTCCTGAAATGTTGGGATTATAATATGAGACATAGCACCTGGTCAGCAATTTTTTTTTTTTTTTACTAGAGTGTTTAATGTTAAGCTTTTTAAAAATAGCCAATTTATTAATTCAAATCACATTAGAACATGTGGGGTTTAGACATTAAATTCTACATAAAAAGCAAGCCATAGGGCCAAGGTCTCTATGATCACACAGTACTCTTGAACAGTATTATGAATCCTTAAGTCTTGCATAAGAATTTACCACATATGGGGCCGGGCGCGGTGGCTCAAGCCTGTAATCCCAGCACTTTGGGAGGCCGAGGCGGGTGGATCACGAGGTCAAGAGATCGAGACCATCCTGGTCAACACGGTGAAACCCCATCTCT